CAGTCCTGCGTAAGCTGTTTGTGTCTTGGAAATGTGGGTGGTTGTTTCTTTGACTGTGCTACCGTCACTTGACACGAAACTAAGTAGGAGAAACAATCTTATATAACTAATTCCTGACCATAACGCATCAAAGCCGAGCTAGACGATATCGAATCTTGTAGCATCACTCTGCTCTTCGAATGTGCAAAGCACATACCAAATGGAGTTATATAACTTGAAAGTCTGTCAAGAGCGTTTTGCGCATCCTCCATATATTCGAACAGACAAACGAGGTGGTGAGCCTACTCTAAGTAGCACAGCTTTTCTCCAGCTGCCCATTCAATAGCAACATTCTGGAGACCACTTAGTGTGTTCTCCAATATTTCATTCATGATGAACTTCAACGGGAATGGCGAAATCAGGCACTCTTGACAAACACCGCTCCCGATTTTGAACGATTTGTTTAGATCACCAACAGGCTACCCGAATTATCCAGGTGCAGTGATCGTTTACATAATTCCGCGGCATTCCTTTGCGACTGAATCGAAGGGTCTTTCAGGTCAAGGAACACTGCGACCGTTGGCAGACGGTATGTACGGCGCAATTCGACTCGACGCAGAGTGAAGATTTGGTCTATGGAACCGCGACCGGCTTGTTGTTCGCGGACATTCATCTTCCTTAAGGGTGTCAGCCGGCAAACTACCACATAAGCTTACACTTTTACTATTACTGGAACCCGGTGTGGTTTGTGCGGTCCTTGCGCGATCCATTCTTGAATATCGGAACTATCAACGATTTACCTCAGGATAAAGGAAGAAGCTCCTCCGACCGGATGCTTCGAACTAAGCTAGTAATCGAGTCGACAATCATCCCTCCCCACCCACCGTCCAACTTGAAAACAATGGAAAGAATCCAATCGAGAATCGCTGGCTTCCCTTTCTTCAACGATTGAAAACAGCTTCGTAATTCTAATTCGCTTGCAGGCTGATATGTTACCACCCGCGGGGTTTTCACTGCAATCACCGGAATAGCAGCAATAGATCTAGGCCAACTAAAGTGTTTACTAAAATACTCTGCCCAGCGATCAAATCATTATTATATGATTATATATTATATTTTATATATATTATATGTAAATATATTATAGTACATTATTATGTTATTATTAGATCGGTATTATTATTCTCTATTGTGGATACCATGTCTACACTTGCCGCAAATGTTTTCACTGACAGGTATGTAACGATCTCCTGAGCTGCGCATCAGGTGAAACAGTCTTTGACTATTCCCTGATGCAGAACCTACTTCCGTTTCACTGACAATTTTGGCCCACCAGTTTTCGCTATCTTTCTTAGGGCTTTTCCTGAGCCGATGTTGGAGGCGCCACTGATTCCTATACTGATTCTGACAGATTGGAATCTTTTGCTTTACTTCCATGGGGATTACTATCTTCTGAGAGCGCCAATGATATGACGCACTTCGGGCTCGGTAGCACAAGCAAATATAATCCGACCTCACTATTCTATTCCATTATGACGCGGTTCTCCTAGCTCCTGTCCCATCTTCTTGTTATATTATTTTTGTTGCGTTGGCACCAAGCTGGTATATATATATATATATATATATATATATATAACACCGGCTTGCGATCAAGCTTGGTGCCAACGCAACCATCAAGAATAAGGTGCGCCGACAGATGAATCGCGCCGACGATGATGATCCAGCTGAGATGATTTCTGATGATGATCAATGAGTCAAAAAGTGAAGCGCATCATAACGTGTGTACGTTAGAGCTGCGGCTCAACCGAATGAGTATGGTGGGTTTGTCGTTAAATTCGTCGTCTTTTAGTGAATCGGTACTGCAGTTGGTTGGTGCATATTCGGAAATGATGAGCCCACATTCTGCTGTTCTTCCGAATACTAGCTGAACCCTGGAGCTTCGTTGCGCACAAACGACTCTTCACGGGGATACTATCTATCAGTGATGCCTCAGCTTCATCATTTGGTACGATTCCTACACCACGCTGACCCAGTGGGTGGGCTTCATCGTCTGTTGATGTTCAGTTCAGTTCAGTTTGTACAACCATTAACCACGCATATTCGTGCGCCGCTTTTGGTTGCTGTCTTCTGGCTGTCCATTTGGATGAAGAATAGGAGAAGAAAAGAAAGTTGAAAGTGGAGCCGAACAGAAAATGGAGAAGTTCAGTTGTCTAAAGTTGCAAAGAAATTGAGATGCACGAACTCCACTGTTTATGACACTCAGTGTCTCTAACCATCGTTTACGATCATGGTTAGAGACACTGATGTATGAAAGAAATACCTCGAGAACAGACTCGGCGTACTCACGTGGCTTATACTACTACGATCCTGAATCCGTGTCTCCGATACGCAACAGACATCAATTTGAAAAGAGTGCATCGCACACGCATGACTCAGCTTGCTCGATGCCATGGACAGCGCGGTCCTAATTACCCTGTGCGACGACCGATGAACCATTAAATTACTTTTAGTTTGTGTGTTCGTTTGAGCTTTATGAACGTGTACTGCCAGGGAGACCAATCACTAAGCAGGAGAACAATTAGGGTTTTCAACCTTCAGTTATGACATTTTCTTGGATCAATTACTCCTCCAACACGTTTCACCAACTGGGACACCAACTCTAGTCAAACCCCCAACCTGGAGGACCAGGAGACCGAACTCTGTCTGATCTCGACCCATTGACCACCCAAGAATGATTAGATCTTTGCCTGAACAAAAGCCATCACGTGTAGCTTGTTGGGCTACAGAGGTGCACAAGTCGTCATATCACGTCAAGGTGCAATACCATCGCGATGGTTGATGGGAAAGTAGTAGGTCAGGCACTGCTAGAAGTGCTGAACCTTCAAAGGTGATTGTGATTGCGCGTGCTTTACACACAATGGTAAATAGGCTTCGTCGACAGGCATTAATTGAAAAGCCCAAAACCGTCACAGTAAAATCTAGAAAGAGGATATGGAGCTCTGACCAAAGACGTCGTCATGTAGGTCACGTCAGGCTTCCCAGATAGGGTTCTGTATTCAATCGTGTGGGAAATCGGGTGATACGGCAGTGTGACGGTGGTTTGCGAGAAGAAAAACCTCTGTCCGGTTTAAAGATACGAAAACTTTGAACTTAGGTCTTGTTAGGCATACTAGTTGGAAACCTCTGGGCCATTCTACGCAATGATGAGATACTAGGTAATATGGCCGCAAATAGTCGGGCTTGTGCATTCAATCACTGACCAACCAGATTTAATTTAACACTGCCCCATTGACAGACCAAGTGGATAACCAGAAGGCAGTAACCGATACCACGGGACGACAATGTAACATTAATGACCATATAAAACAAGACTGAAATTCCACACTAATGGAGGAATACTTTCTGAGATAATTCAAGGTATAATCAAAGACCCGCTGGTAATTCACGTACACATTTGCCCAGCACCTAACTTTGATTTAGACTGATCCGCTTTGTGTGAGTACCCGCGTTTTCTAGTGGGTGCTGGGAGTTTAGTCCTTGTTTGTCGTCGATTCTGATCATGTTCTCAACAGACATGCACACCCCTACCCTAACTCGTTCCCGAAACCCCACTCTTCTGTGTACATGCATTTGATCAGAGTCAAACCTATCAGAAGTCCCACTACAGATCAGTACGACAGCAGAAAGAAAGAAAAGCACACATGCCATCATAAGATGGCTGTCACAAGCCGGTATCGGTCAACTGAAAGCCCCACACACACTAACGTCCGGGGGGGGGATTGTAAGCCGAAAAATACGCCGGCAAAAAGAAAAAGGTGCGAGCATGCGCCTGTGTGGTACCACTTTCGGATGAGTTGCCCTGATGGGGGTTCCAACCACTACAGGTATATGCACACTCACAAAAGAAGCAGTTTGATGTGTGTGTACGATGTCCCCGTATGCGGCTTACTGGTACCGTGAAGAAGCCCAGAAGGGCTAAAAACCTATTGGGTAGACATATACCCATCAATCCATGCTGTCTTGGATGCACTTAAACAAATTTTCTGGGTAAACATAGTTTCAAGTGGACCAGGGTTTTACGACGGGTTATAAAGAGCATCAAAAACACTATATCTGGAAACACACAGTATGCTCATACGGGAACAACAGGAGAAAACTGAAACGCTAACTACTTGGTTGTGAAACGGGATTTCCAACACCGTTCGACAGCTGACTCGGTGCATTGTGATTGCCCAAATTTGTGTTACGATGTTCGGTACAGCCCAGAAAACTGGAACGCCTAGTTGGTGGTGGAGGTGGGGTACGGGACGATTGTGCGGATGAACCCAGACTCATTCGATTGCGAGAAATTATAGCCTGTTTGAGTTTTTGTGGCTTAGGAGAAACCGGAGGAGGCGAAGGAGGAGGAAGGCGAGGAGACTCCGAGACATGCGCGCCGGACCAATTGAAGAGTGGTTCAGAACGCACTTGGGTTAATGGTGGATCTGCGCTCTCAAAACTACTCTGTCGCATGTGACGTAATAAGGTTCCAGTTTCTTCCGTCTCATGAATGCCATATCCTTCTGGAGTTGGTGCCAGATTTCGTGCGAAACAAGAGACCGCCGTTCCGGCATCACGCTCCCAAGGTGGAGAAAGTGGCATACTATCCGTCACTTGTTCATCCATACTGGTTGCACGAAATAAACTAACCAATGTGTTTTGCGAAACCGAATGAGGGAGAGGACATGTGACCGGAGGTGTCAGAGCGCAACCAAGTGAAACTCTAGTCCCCGGTCGACCAAGAGTTCGAGCCAAAGGAGACGGGTTGAGTGAGTGCATATAGGGACTCGACGGAGGAGCACCGGGTGAAACAGGGACACTGTTACCATGGAGAGTGGAAGTGACAATGGAGTTGGCCAGAGGGACGACCGCATGATTAGCGGACGCAATAATAGGGGATCCATGTAAAGTGGAAGAAGCAGCACGAGCAAAGCGCAATCGAGGCATAGAAGCATACGGGCCGACTGAATAATGTGAAGAGTAAAAAATAATCGTTCGACGACCCAAGAATGCACCGGGTAAGTAAACAGTATGTGAGCACCCATTCACCAGAATACACACGCACATGTGGATGCGTACATTATATGTATAAAGTGCCAGCGTAATTATGTGCGAATGCGTGATATAGAAAAAAAAATGAGATTTGATTGACCGTATGGTGTACAAATTGTTAAGAGTAAGCATCGTGATGAATGGTATGTAACAAAAGCCAAACCGGTTGAACAGTTCACAGCACCAACGAATAGAATCAAAACGCGCAAGAAACATTGCGGGTGGTGTGAGAGGGAATCGCAGGAGAAACGGTCGTGGGGATAGAAAGAGAGCATATAAGTGATCTTAGGAGTACATGCATGCAATTAGTGTAGTTGAAAATGGAGAATAACATAGAATCCAGTGCCCTATTCATTCATCAGTTCGGTTTAGTTGAAATAAATCCGGAACCGCTTAAGAATCACACTATCCGTAAGAACAGATACCGACGCGTTACACCATGCAAGAGCACATGCGAATTACAACAGAAAAAATCATGCATCCAATTTTATCTGTCTATTTTTCTTATATTGAGTCTTCATAGCAAAGGTGCGCCTTAACTTGGTGTGATAGCCTGTCTGAATTGTTCCGCAACCCCTTTACTTAAGCAGGATGGCTTGTAACAGTCTCAGAATCATTTATGATCTGTGGGTACAGTGCAAATAAAGCTTGGTGACACAAGGCCGGATGATTGGCAACCAATTGGCTTTTCGTTTGAAAATCCAATTTCGCCCCCAGATGGGTAATTCCGGCCACTGAACACAAGGAGGAACAGTCTAACGGTAAGAGGAATCGCTGGACGGACGTGGATTCACATGACTTTATCTCGACAATGAAAAACTCTTCGTACTGCGTCGGACAACTGCCATCCATCCAGGCTAGAGCTCCTTGCCAATAAGAAGCTAGGCCGTACAAGTTCCGCCGGGCCCAACGTCGATCCCAATCAATGAACCCGTAAGGTACGAGCCAGCGTAGAAAAACAAAACCTTTAAGGACTCGTAATGTAAGTGCACAGAATAACCGATAAGGATACCTGCCTCATGTCTTCGTATTAAATATATGCTCCCAATGGTAATGACCAAGTCCCTGTACCATAGAGCAAAACTGGCCTAATTGCTACACTATATACTCGACCCTTAACAGACAGCCGGATGTCGCGACGGGTCAAGTATTGACTGCAACAATTAGGCCATTCCTGCTCTACCATGTTCAGCATAGAAAAAATAAATTCCCCGAATATAGAAAAAAGGATCAATCAAACCATACAGTCGCAAAACTGTTTTGAAGCGCGAAGACAGAGCTTTGGAACAGATAATACGACCTCGAATCCCAGCGCTTGATCAAAAACGTAAAAACCGCATTACTGGACGGAAGAAATAAAAACCGGACGGAGAAATACAAGCGGGCACTATCCAGGACAATCGACCTGCGGAAGTAGCGCAACTAACGATAAGTGAAAGTTAAATGTTTAGGTTTTTAGTTTTGCTCATATGAACTCATTGATCTGATTGTGTCCGTCCTGATTCATTCAAGTTCGTTAATTTCGGACTGCCCGAAAACATGTTATTGATGATAAATTTAGTTTTATGTAATGGTATAAGCTAAACCAAGAACTTGTACAATTAATTGATTTAGTCATTGCTCAATGTGTTGCCAGTCTACCGTTCACATCCCACGGTCAATCAAACGCTTGACAGTTCGTGAAGAATACAAATTTGTACACCATACTGTTGAGCCCCAATAAAGACGAAGCAGCTTTCCAGCATTCGTTGTCAATCACTACGCATAACTCTACCAGTAAAGCCAAATGAAAGTAGGAACCCGATGAATGAGAAAACATGATCAGAAAGCATGGTACGACCTACCAGTTACCATTCGATCCAATTCGTCCAACTCCACACTAAACGGATCAATTCCATTAGAACCGGAGCGAGCAACTGCACTGGTTGCAGGTAGAGTGCCTCGCCGATTGCCAATATTCTGACTATTGAGAGCCACAGCACTACCGATACCGTTGCCTAGGGCGGACAAATTCATCGGGGTTTGGGGAGCGGAGCGAACAGCCCCGGCTAGATCGCTGACCGAATGCCTCGTACTTGGGTGTTGGTGTGGCAAACCAGCTGAGCTGACACTGGTAGTGTCTCGTGTACGGATTTGGGTATGGTTTGGACTCTTAGGGTAGCTCTGATCACGATCGTTTGATTGAAGCAAACGCGATGGACTACCGGGAATCGCAGTAGGATCCAGAAATTTGTCTACCGGATCACTTGCCATGCTGTTTTGAACGGAGTGAGGCAAGTTCGNCGATATGGAGAATTTGCGTTGGGCAGCATGAGCTAATTGAGTCAGATTGGTATACACTGGAGGAGGAAGTGCCTGGTTCGGATAAAGCACCGTGGATGAATCGACACCACTGTCTTTCGAAGAAGATTTGCCGACTGAGATGGTGAAATAAAATCGGGTGTGGAGATAGAAGGAAGGAAAATCACAAAAACACCACATGTGAACACTAAAAAATGTGAGAATAAACTTGTTCATCACTGTTACCTTCCGACTCCCCCACATCCATAAATCCTTCTCCCCTTCCGAAACGGTGTATTTTACCATGGAACAAAAAAAACAGAACGAGGACACAACATGAGTTTGATTAATTAACGAAAAACCGACACGAATGCAAAACTAAGTTTGAGGTAACGACATGTGTATCCTGGAGTAAGTGCTCCATCTCCACAGATTAGGAGGGTAGGGAAGTGTTACGCATGTCATCAAACAGGTTCTCCAGGTGTGCAATGTTCGTCGAGGTAGGCAATGAATGGAATAAGGTCAGCGGTTTTCAGAATGAGACGGTGTGAAAACTCCGAGCGGAAGATTCGGTCACACAGGTTGCCTTAGACTATCCCGTTACGACCGCGTAACCAACCTAACCAATAGTTAGAGAAATGATTGAGTGAGATAAACCGTGGCACTCATGCATTTGCTCGCTTTCTGAGCATATCCAATCTTTGTCTTCTGCATCCCCATTCTGACAGAGCACCTTGCTTTAGACTCGTCAATTGGCTACTTTCACATTAGTCAGTTAAGTGGGCAGCCGAAAGATACCAAAAAAACCGATGCACTACAAACTCCCTCTTTGGTGATTGCTAGGCATCTGCCGATGACACAACACTGGGTTGACGGACAAAAGGCGTTTTGGGTCATCTACAGGGATGATAACAATGTATGGGTCAACTTTATTTACCCTGAAAATCCCCCTAAAATTAATGGGTTTGGATCAATCGCTGCCGCTGAATGTTGCGAGAGTTTTCTGGATTGGTGGGAACCAAGGTAAAGGACAGAATACTGCAATCTAACAGGCTCATTCCCATTTGATGGTAGGCAGCTCTGATGTCGTCCGGTTCAATACCACACCTAACCTATAGGGGCCTTGTGTGGTTGGCTACTCCAGGTCCCGGGGCTTAGGTTGCCGGTCTCCACCACTGAACAGCAGGTCCTCGTGACTATGGAGTTCGCTCCGTCTGCTGTTTATCACACGAGCGTGTGTAATAAAAAACACCAGTGCTCTCGTATTTTTCATTCTGGAAAAATCTAGGCTATTCGCAACCCTGTAAGAATAGCACTCTTCTTTCAATATTTAATGCAGATATGTGATGCTTCCGATAAACGCTCGCTTTGTTTTGCAACCATCTTTCGACTGGAAACGTCTCGTCGGACAAGATCCGATGATAGGAAGGAAGATACGACAAACAAAGCTGCTCAAACTTGCTGGGAGGCGACTGTGGCCAATCGTTTGAAGCTGCACTTCACAGTGTCAACAAAACTAACTGAAGTTAAAATTAACTACATATTACAGTCACTCTAACCTGGGAATCCCCTGCCCCTGAAATTGGTGGCTACTGTTAGCCTAATTTTTGTGTTCGTGTATATAAATTTTGTGATTTTCGGTAGCAAACACCAGCAGGGGTGAAGAGAAACTGTCCGGGACAGATTTCGAGCGTTGCGCTGTTGGATTCTGTGTTCAAAAATTGCAAACTGTTCAATCCAGCTCTCTGAAATGTACAGTCGCAATCCATTTTAACTACCCTCCGACTACTCTATTGCCGTAATCCAGTGACTATAATTAATCAGGGACTCAAATTCGAAAGAACCAGAGGTTAAAGTACTAACAACTAGTAAATAATCCTTGTATTCATCTTGCTTTGCGTAGATCACAACCGTCCACTAGAACATTCAAATTGCTATCGCCTGTCGACCCTGTTTTGGGTTATATGATGTTGTTTTGTTTTTGCTGGTGAGATTCGTCCAACTGATCGCTGATATGCTACTTCGATTACAGTCTAAACATAGGTGATACCATTTTCTGAACCGTTTATGCTGTCCACTTCGATTTGATCTATCCAACCGTACAGGAAAGATCGAAAGTGGAGTTATTTGCTCGTTAGCATCCAGATATTGATTTTCGTGACAGACTGGAGCTAGCTCCAACGGCTATTTATTGCACAAAGGTTGGCGAGAAAATGCATCGCTGAATTGAAGCGCAAATTACCGAGCACAGTTTTGTCGTTAAAATCTGAAGACAAACCGTTGGTGCATTCATTGTGAAACACTCACTTTCGAGAAATACGGATGGCGCTCAAGATGATATACTTATGGTTAGTGGCAGACAGCTTCGAGGTCAAAAGTCGCAATATCTCGCTAGTCCAGTACTAAGTGATTTGCAACTCAGAGTATCCAGGGTTTATGTTGCCGCCTCCCCTCTAAAATGGACAATCGTTCCTTGTGACCATAACAAGTCTATACCTTCGATTGTGTGTTATAGAACAATTTATCTTCTGTTAAAAGTGCGTCTGGCAAGCTGTATGTGAATCCCAAGTTATAAACGAAAACCATTATATACTTGGGAACCGATCATGATACCGTGATAAGGTGACAAGCAACCACATCATCTGCCTTCCCTATTGACAAGGCAGGGTGACATCATTCGATCACAGTCAGAATGACGATATTTTCGGGGTACTCACTGTCACTGGAACACTGACAAAAGATCGTGAAACTATCCCAAGCACCTTAAACAAACATGATAAACAAAACAATGTGCACGGGGTGAGTGAAGGCCTTTTCCAACTTTTCTGGACCTTTCGGTGGAATTTGTAGGTAGTTGTGCGATATGCAAATTATAGGTTGTTTTTTATGCTCCAGGGAAAAACGAACGTACCAATTTCAACATGCATGCTAGATAATCTTGCTTGGCACTGGAATGGCGTCACTGAGAATTAAACAGAGTAGCATTCGGTTCCAAACCATTTCAGTCAGCTTTGTTAGTGCATCGATCGTTCAAAAATGATATTGGCACGGTGGAAGAAGCATGAATAGAAACAGCTAACGACGATGTTAGAAATAATGCAAAACTATACGACGGTAGCAAGCACAGCACTCGGAAAACCCTGCGGTGGTTCGGTCGAAATTAATTAAATAGACTTCGGAAGTATACCTACAGTAGACCAATACGGTAAACACTACTGCTTTAAACAACAGTGCATGTACATCCTGAAATGATGGTACATAAATTATAACGAAAAATTAAGAAGACTAACAATCTTCAATTACTCAAGTTAATTAGAAACAGAGCTGAAAACGTTGCGCTAGTGGTCGATTCAACTGCGTGCTCCGTTATTTGGGATTCAGGATTGGAATACCATATCCATCAGCCGATTCCAGTTATAAATAGCTCCGGTGTCACTTAATGAGGCTTTGTGTGGTTCACCGGTGAAAGATTCGGAGCACAGGCTACCGCTTGTCTTGAACCAAAGCACAAGTCTTTCGTGGTCATTGGATTTACCTGTTCTACCGTTTACCATGCGGAAGTACGTCTGAAGTCAAGCATTCATATTAGACGAAAAGGCAAACAGAAAGTGCGAATTCCGGTTATGTTTTGGATAAATCATCGAATAGAAGCTTGCTGGTGAAGAAATCTTTATCGTCCAGTTCACCATTAACATCTAATTCATAAACTCAACTAATCGAACTAGTTAATGTTATCATCAATATGCATGCGCTCATTCCATTATTTTGACCACTTTACATCTCGCACATACAAAGTTTGTGAGCTCTTTAAGATTTCGAAGTAGTTCGCCTTCTGCCAGTTACTCACTACCACAGATACAAAAATATCTGTTTGGTAAAAGGAAGTAAAGAATGGTAACTATTGTCCCAACTATAATCCAAACAATACTTTCAAATAGTCGGTAACTGTGCGTAGAAGCAACACCGAAATCACTGAATATCGCTTCGAATTATGGGTAAGAAACATGTGGCCCCCGTGGTGGGGTAAGCGGATTGAATTTTTCGGGGAGGGAAAAACAGATGACATAAGCCCATGATGAAAAGAAAAACTGCATTCCACGTTTCAGATGTTACCTCATCTGACATCGTGGACTGTCAAATACCCAATGAATGATTTCCTGTTGTTCTACACGGTAAGGAATGTGATAGATGAGAAAAACAGCCGATAGAAGCGGCGATCAGTGATCATTCATACTTTGTCAGTGCAGTTCAACATAGAGGTTTCACAAGAAACGCTACTGTCCTGATTCTTATGAACTAGAAGTGGTTTTGACCTTAAGAATGGACATTTTTCTGACAGGAAACATATCACGATCATCAGCCTTTCTTCATTCTTGAGGAACTTACTTAACTAGGCATTTGGCTGTGGCGTTGGCACCATACTTATTCTCAAACCGGTGTTTTACATATATATATATTTGGCCACAAGCAGGGAAACTCGCATTAACATCAGGCTATCATCTTGGTGCATTTCAGCGCAAATGACCTAGTGTGATCGATGCGAAGTGCATTTGTGTTCAACAATAGCAGAACTAACCGGTTCCTGGGTCTTTTGGTTCACCGGTAGTTTTTGGACACCTCTCCAACCACTGCAAGCAAACACTCGTGTATTCGATAAAACAATAAATGAATGAATAACTCGAGGCATTTTCATCAGATATGCATATGCGACGATTGAATCAAACGAAATAAATCACGTGACACTAAAAATCGTCCAACTCATCGTCAAACACTTCACGAGTTTCTCCGAGTGACCTCTTCCCTACTCCCGCACACATGCTCTCATTAGTGGGTCTCTCAGAGTATATGCTTAGGAAATCATACCCATTGCCTCCTCATGGCGAAGGTTCTCATGAAAGTGAAGGAGCGAATAGACAATATGTAGGTTGAGGAGTTACGGGAAGCTGGCAAATTCAGAGGAGCTGGATAATCCTGCTTTGAAACCTCTCAAGAGGTGTATAAACTGGTTCTAATGATCACCGGTTGGAATAGGTGGTTTGGAAGACTGAGTATTGAAGATTCGTCATAAGAACGCAAGATCCGACTGACTGTACACCTATTAACAATGAATTGCAGTCCGCACATAGTGCCCTGCTGA